CAAATACGCCTATATGCTGCAGAAAAATTTCCTAAATACAAACAATATACTAGACTGTGAACAACTCTATTTCAAAAGTACTACGAATAAAGAATTTCTCAGTGTAGAGCGCAATTCTTTGAAATTTTAAGGAAAAGGCCAGTTTCGTCATTGCTTCATTGGAACGACCAACCGCAGACCAGCCTACCGCGTTCTAATTGATTACTGTTTACCGTCCAAAACCCCAAAATTGCCAAAGAATCATAGAGTCTGTAACAGCGGTCACAGTCTTGCTCGCTGCGGATGCTGGTGCGTTAGGAAGCAAGATAGTGATTAGGCACAGCACCAACCTTTTTCCACCAATTGTGGAAGCTGTCTGAACTAATGACGGTGGAAAAGTGGCTGGCGCTGCGCCAAACACAGCTCTCCTCTCTTTACACGCCCTAACATCCGCAGCGAAGAAGACTGCGTGCAAATTGGTTAAGCGAGGTGTCCATTTTCAGGCGCCTCGTTCAGAGGATTCCGCCTTTTTTGGCTATTCTGATACATTCGATATGCTAGCTTCCACGTATTTTTGACGACGCAGTCCATAAACCGGGCTCACACAGGGTTAGCGAAAAATGAGCAACACCGACTGGCTACGTAACCTCATCAAAAGCCATTTGTAACACAATGGTTGAACCATGCCGTGACAAGGGTCTTCAGCCTACGAGTCCAGAAACCGAAAAATTGCACCTTCGACGAAACAGCTGGAGAACCACGAATTTTTTGAAACTGGACGAGTGCTAATGACGGAAGATTCAATGCTAGCTACTCCTGAAACTAGTGAGGGACATCACATCCGCGTTACGACGACGGCTCCAAAATATAAATTCCTCAGCTGGCTGTCTACATATACTGCAGGCTTCCACGTTAGACTAAAACTATGCCACGTCACATCATGCTTCCATTATCTTCACATTTTAAACTGATACGTATACGAAATCACCTATTAAAAACCCTAGTAAAAACTACATTTCCTATCCGTGAGAAAATTTTCCTAGCTGTTGATTTTTCCGCCTCGTTTGCGCTAACTACTTTTTAATTTGAGAGCCATGGCGGGTGGGAAGGTGGGGGAAGGGCGTATAGCAACAACTTAACATAAAGTGATGGTGTGCCCTGCTTCTGATAACGAATGTAAGCAGGTTCGCGTTCACCAAAACTTTGTAATTTCTACAAATGGTGAATGCTATCGTGTAAAATCCGTTGTACCCTCCCCCCACAAGCTTCATTTCACCTGTGACTTTAAACTCTGTTTTGCCTACTTGCCCGATTCATTTTGGAGGATGAACGATGCAAAGAGAATCATGGTTCCAATCAAGTAACAGCTTAAGCATAGTAACAAATTTATAAGAATCGATGAACGACAAATCACTATTCCGGCTCCTCTTCGAGACTTAAGAACCTTCGACACAATCTTCTGTTCTTCGAGCAGGAATGAACGGATGATACGCTCCTTCACGGCATTGGGGGACAGACATCCTCCATAGGTGCGGGAAACAGTTCTCTGGTTCTTCTTCAGTCTTGTAAGCTCACGTGGACGAGCAGGGGTAATCTGAATACTTACCAATCAATTACCAGATGAATTTACGCGATATCTTGAACAGAAGAGTATAAATCACTTGAGTATAAATATATAAGTATGTCGGATGTGTATGATGGGCGGAACGTATCATGAAGCTAGAGATATCTTACAGGCTACTCTACATCTAATCCGAGAACAAATCATTACTCAGAATAGACACAATAGATCTTCAACATTGCTACCGAATCAAAAAAGTGTACATATGCTAGACCCGAATTATTGAAAGGATTGAAATACATTTCAATTCTACGAGTAGTTGAAGATAGACTCTGCGCTCGGTACCGTGGTGCGCGTACCGTATGTAACTGCAACTTATGATGGCCGCAGACCTCTCGTCACTGGTTGTGGAACCGCGAAAAAGAGCTTACGAAGGAAGGAATCCTACGAACAGGTTGAACGGGCGGTCTGTCTTCAAAGGAATAAGAGTTCAAGACACTCCGCGCCCATCATTATCGGAGAATGAAAACCACCTCATTAACGCTTAAAGCCATAGGAGGGATGCACCAAGGATGATGTTGTCGTGATCTTTCTCCGCCCATTCCGCTAGCGCAGAATGTACCTTCGAATAGGTAAGAAGTTTTTTCATAGTTCTCGAAAAGAAATCGAGAAACAGCAGTTTCTCTGCATTTTTACAGAAAAAATGACAAAAAGTTTCAAATTAATCAGTCGAAAAGTGTAATTGATAGGGGCCTGCCAACTGAATAAATTGCGACCTTTAAAAACCACGAGCACCGGAGTGATAGGAATCATAGCGCATCACGGGTGTGGATTTTACGATAGTAAGCCCGAGTTCATCAATGAGGATCTTAGAGAAATTACGAAACTGTAGATAAAAAAGCATACATATCGATTTGAAGAGCCGTGGAATCGGAAGAATGCAGAAAAAGAAAGCGTCGGTACCGATTCAAAGTAATGACGAATCTAAATGCAGAAAGGGGGAATCTGTAGAAATGCCGAAATTTCGCAAAACCAGCATTTCTCGCGGCTGTGGGTCGAACGACTAAACAAAATAATGTCTTTGTCTCCATTTTGGCTTCTCCACCATACCGCAGCTCTCCCGATTCCGCGGTTCTTTGAATCTCTACGTATACCTTGCTCTATCCACAGTTTGTCTTTTGGTAAAAATCGTCATGTATGATGCG